ATATATATATATATATTAAATTAAAATTATTTTTAAAATTAAAGCAACCGACTCCAAATCCTGACTGACAAGGGGTAGGGCTCTATTTATAGAGTTTAAAAGAGACCACTTTGCAAATAAGGATGAAATTTGAATAGCTTAAATGACCAAGAGAGATTCTCTCGTTCGGACGATATTTAGTGAATATTTGAGTACCTTAATGAAGTTATAATTGAATGATCGTGGGTTCCTTGGATTTGTCTCACCGATAAGCTCAATTTGACTATAAGCTTGACAGATTTAGACTGTGTTTGAATTCCAATTATGAACTGAAAGGTTCTAAAAATAGTTTTATGAATTTGAATTCCAATTATGAACTGAAAGGTTCTAAAAATATTTAATGAATTTGGGCTTGATTTGACTTGGATTGGACCAATTTTGATATTATTAGATCCGTCTAGTCTAGCCGACTAGTTTGACTATATGTTTGCTGAAGTCAGAGTTCTGTACGACTTTTAATCATAGTTGAACAAACGTTGCTCAAAAAGTTATCTCAAGATTCATATCCCGCCTCGAAATTTATGTCAAATGATGAAAATTTGTTGATGGTGTATTATTACATGAACATATATGTACGTATGTACATATATGTATGCACGCATATGTAGGTACATTTATGTATGTATATGTTTGTACGTACATGTATGTATGTACCTTTATGCAAACACCTGTATATATGTATGTATATGTATGTACATGTGTGTGTATGTGTATAGGGGTTATATATGCATACAAGCAATAAGGATTTTGATTTTTTTTGTAATTTATTTGTATTCATTCATCATAAACTTGATCAATTAAAACAAGTCGACCCATTTCCATATAGGTTGGAATTGATCAAATAGCTCAATTTTAGCCCCCTACTATCAATTTTAAGTCAGATCAAACTCAATTCAATTGAGCCAAACTGGCTCAAAATCAAATATAAGCCATAATTTGATTTCGAGCCGCATTTCAACCCAACCCAATCCAGAGGTCCCTTCAAACAACATTATAAAATTAAACATTAATATAACTCAAGCATAAATCTCTCAAATTAATTATAAATATAAAATATTCTCTTAAAAGAACATCAATAAACAGTTATTAAAACTATTTCAGTTAAATAATTTTATTTATGCTAACTCAATTAAAATCGAAGCACTTGTCTCAGCATCATGAAGAATGCTCATTTACCTTTTCCAATAGCTTATAGCTCTAGTAAATTATACAGTGTAACTATTTTCTAACCATTTTTCTTAGTATTTAATAACAATCTAAATTCAATTTAATATTTCATAAAAAAATATATAATTATTTTATATTATTTAAACTTTATATATATATATATGTTCGCGAACAACATGATATATATAATATTACATAAAATGTAATATACATCATATATATACAAATTAGATAATCTTAAAGCAAAATATCTAAACCTCTCAATTAGTGATAAATAATAAATTTTTTATTTTATTTATATATTATTTTAATTATTTTTATTGCTATAAAAAAATAATATACTAGACAAGGAGATTTTTTTAATCTAAATATATTTATTACAAAACTATAAAGTATTATATTAGATACCTCCCTTACCAATCAAAAAAAAAAAAGAGATGAATATATATTATGGGATAATTACATATAGAACACCTGAAACATTCATATTTACAAACTAACCATCCAAATGATTTTTTTGAACTAACGAACCAATCTATTTACGCGTGCCACGGCCAAACTATTGAGAATTTGATAAAAATGTAAAATGTAGGTTGGGGTTTTAGCATAAATTTTGATATTTGAGTGAGAATTTGAAGAAGAAATATTACATCAGTACTACGCACGTAAAAATAACGTGCGTAGCCAATCAAAACACGCCACGACATCTCACGCTGTAGAGCAAAAAAAACGGCGCAGTAACACGTGGAATATTCCCTCATGTGTTATTCATGTGTTATTGCGCATTATTCATGTGTTATTGTGTGTTATTCATGTGTTATTCATGTGTTATTGTGTTATTATAACACCAGGAATATTCCCAGGATACAATAACACATGAATAACACACAATAACACATGAATAACACGGGGAGGAATATTCCCCGTGTTACTGCGCCGTTTTTTTTGCTCTACCGCGCGAGATATCGTAGCGTGATTTCATTGGGTACGCACGTTCCTCTACGTGCATAGTACTGATGTAATATTTTTTCGAATTTGAAAAATGGGTGAAAGATGGTGGTTGACCTGTAAATAGCAAATTTCGGGCGGTCTGTATGTTATTGTCCCCATTTATTTTTGGCAAATGAGACCATTCTGCACCCAAAAATAAAAAATTAAATGGGAATTTACAAACATAACACTCAATTCTTATGTATTTACTTATCTCATACCTAAGCTTTAATTTCGACGTCTCAAGCATATTTTTGAATGTATGAAAAGGCGGAAATAGTGTAATCGACCTTTTCATACATAGGTTAAGGTGCTTAGTACGTAAAAATTAAAAATTTAGGTGTGAGATATATAAATGTATAAAAATTGAACGTTACGTATGTAAATCTCTGAAATTTAAAACTCAGCACAATCGCCTGTAAAGCGGGTGATTGCGTGCGAAAGAGGAAAAATTATTTCATACGGATAACGTATGTAGAAATCCATACGCTATCCGACCTCCACCGTCCATCAAAACAAAGTTGTATTTCGGCGGCCCCATTTAAAAAAAAAATAATAATAATTGATGGACGGATCGATCAGCATATGGATTCATATATAATTATGTGCCCAACATCTAAATATTATTTTTTTAAACTTATAACACAGAGATCTTATTTGAAATAATAATAATAAATATAATAATCCTTAAATCAGTTAATCATAATTTATATCACCTAAGTGATATTTAAATTCATAGCACCAAATTAAAATTAATCATTAATATAAGATATTATTAATTAATACTTTATATTAAACTAATTAATCATAATTTAAATAATTATTTACATCAAATTTAATAACTAGCACAAACGAAATTATATATATTATTTTACTAATGAAATTATATATATTATATTAAACTAATATTATTTATTTTATATATATATATTATTTTACTTTTTTGCTATTTACAAATACATTTTTTACCATCCCATATAGGGGTGTAAGCAAACCAAACACGAACGAACAGAGCCTTTGTTCGTGTTCGGTTCGTTTGAAATAAGCTCGTGTTCGAAATTGTTCGTGAAGTCACTATTCTTGTTCGTTTCTTAACGAACGAGCAGAACACGAGCTGTTCGTGAATGACGAGCCAGTTTAACATCCATAATCACGTATATGTATAAATAATATATTATATTAATTATATAACTTATATTATATTAATGTATAATATCTATATTAGTATATTACTAATATAACATATTAATATATTATTATTATTAATTTATTATATGTTGAAATTTATAAAATTTAATTTTTTAAAATATCATAAATTTTGTATATATAATCATTTTAAATTATTTTATATTTCAAACAATAACAATTCGAGCACAAACGAACGCATCATTGTTCGTGTTCGGTTCATTTAACTAACCGAACGAAAAAATTTTGTTCACGTTCGTCTCGTTTAGTTATCGAACAAATCGAACACAAACTCATTGACGAACCGAACACGAACTGTTCGCGAACAACGAGATTTTTTCACAGCCCTAATCCCATATAAGTCATTGGAGCACAGAAGGCAACAAGCAGGTACCAAATCACGAAGGGCTACATAAACAGCCACAGGAACTACCATCCCTCCCAACCTCAGATCTTCTAATGGAAATGGGAGCCTATCCAACAGAACCGAAAGACCACCCGATAAGCCTGCTTAGCCTCAGATAGAAATTCTAAAACAATGGCCTTCAACACATCTCAGCTTCCTCTCACATGAGAGAAAATAGAAGTGCTTTAAATATTTAACCAATTAACCCTTAGCATTTCATATTTACATTAAAACATTTTGATGTCATAATTTATTAAATAAGAAAATTATTTCATGATATATTTGATGTAATGTTACAAATTTGGGTGTTAAGTATGTAAATATGAAAGTTCAGAAGTTTTGGTATGTAAATATGGGAGAATTGTGTGATGTGCATGCAAATGCCCTAAAATAGAAATCAATTTAGTGGAGGAGGAGAAAAATTTAAAAATAGGAGGAAATGCAGAAATATAGATGATTCAGAGAATAGGAGGAGGAGAAATTGCAGAGAAAGGGGATCTCTGGAGGGGAGAAGGTGAGTAATGGAGAAAGGGGGTGGATTTCCATTGGTGGCTGTGGGGATCAGCAATGATAGGAGCAGCCAGAACGCATTAAAATGGGCTATCGATAACCTAATTGCGAAGGGACAAACCCTAATTTTACTGCATGTAAACACCCATGGATCAGGTAATCTTCCATATTTCTGCTTTCAGAAAATTTGAAAAAAAAATGATGAATTTACATGTCTTAACATTTAAATTTTGCTTTTTTATATTTATGCCACCTTAAAAATATGACCTTGTTAGGTGTCATGCATGGGGAAGGTGGCCTGAATGTAAAAAATTGAAGTTTTGGGTGTTAGATGTGTAAATAGAAAGGGGATTCAGGGGTTTGTGCACTCCGCTGGCTCAAAATGTTCACTGATTTGTTAAGGGAAAGCATATATGCAATGACATCAAATTTTGGTGAAATCGAACTTGCAATTTAATTTCATGATCAACAATGATTACCACTAATTTGTTTTACTGTAAAAATCTAAATATCAATTTATGAATGAGAAAACTGCAGGAATCGAAATAACTCACCTGGTTCTATGGGTGTTAATGATCCAAACTGGGGTCGGCTCGATTCAAAATTTTGGCTCGTAGCTCGGCTCATTTATTTCGATCAGATTTTGATCCAAGATAAAATTTGAATCGATTTTAGAATGATTAACGAACTTTGAGCTAAATTCGCTAGTTGCACAGCTCTAATATCATTGGGGCTGTTAAAGATGGGATTTTGAGCGAGCTGGGATCGGCTTGAAATTTTCTCGAAAAAAAATTCGAATCAATTTTCGAGTGATTAACGATCTTCAAGTTAAATTCACAGTCCACCTGGTTTCTACGTTTTGCAGGTTCTCAGCAACATGCCCCCACCAGAGACTACAAAGGAGCCGAGGAACCTCACATGAAGGAGCTCTTCCTCCCATTTCGCTGTTTCTGCACAAGAAAAGATGTCAGTCAGTAAGCTTAAATTACTGAAAAATAGCTCATGCAGGAACAAAAATATCTATACATGTGAAGAAAGTTTACATACATACCACACAACTCTAATGTGTTTATATATATCACACCTAAAATTTGATATTTACATCTATAGTGTTTTTGTGTCGTTAACATAAGCATGAAAAGGCATTTCACTTTCAAAAACAGCGATATTTTTGATGCGATACTAAAGATAGGTGTAAGATATGCAAATGCATAAGAATTGTGTGGTATGTATGTAAATGCCCCTACATTTAAATCATGTCTTGACAATAAAATATTCATAGATCAACTGCAAGGACGTGGTGATTGAAGATCATGATGTGGCAAAGGCAATTGTAGAGTTTGTATCCCAAGCAGCAATTGAGAAGCTTGTTGTTGGAGCTCCATCCCACCATGGATTAATGAGGTGATTAATGGTCCCTCTTTCATATTATGCATTAGAGTATCAAAATGGTCTTATGACTATTTGTCCGCGGTGCCAGTTAGTCCCAGAGCCTATAAGGTTGTCAATTTATTCGCCAGACCCTTTTAAAGGGGGTTAAGGGTGCGTTGGGGCAGCTTGTGCTCATCCAGATAAGCAGCTTGTCTGGAAATGCAGACCATGGAGTTCGACTCGCGTTCCGCGTTTAATATAAAAAACCAACTGCATTTTCGGATAAGCTGCTCAAATGTAGTTTTCAAATGGAGAGGCGACATGAGCTGCTCAAATGTAGTTTTCAAATGGAGAGGCGACGTGTTCAAAACGCCGCCGCAGCAGATAAGCTGTCCCAAACGGAGCCTAGTTGGACACTTTTAGAAACTTTGGGACTAAAATGTCCCAATGTAAATAATCCGGGGGCTATTTTGAGAAGAAATTATTCAGAAGGTTTGATTGAGAATTCATACCTGTTAGAAGATTTAGAGGCTCAGATATCTCCACCAACATTTCCAAGGGGGCACCTGATTTCTGTACAGTTTATGTTGTCTCCAAGGGGAAGGTATTATCAGTGAGGAACTCAGTGAGGGCAGCTCCGGCGCTTTCACCGCTCCGGCTTCAAATACAGAACCAGGTTAACATCAGGGCTGATCCTGTAAATCATCAACACGAACTGGAAGCAAAAGGTAAACATGAGAAAAATGGTTTTGTTTGGTTTTCTTTTGCTTTGTATCCGTGTTCGTTTAGCACAAAATAGTGCACTGAAACTTCTCTGATCATCCTCAGGAGGCACAACACCCAAAGCTCTACGCTTGCACGACGAATCAATCAAGTGAGTCTGAAATGTGTTTAAAATTTGATCATTTCAGTTTCATGAAATTTTCTGAATTCAACCAGAACTAAAATAAGGGGCATTTAAAAATATAGCACACAGATCTTATATACTTACATTTCTCACACCAAAACTTTCATATTTACGTATATAGCACTCAAATGTTTCATATCACATCAAAATAACACTAATACCATTTTTTAAAAGTGAAATACACCTTTTCATGCATACGTATAAAACAGCAAAGTGCTATGTAAGTATAGGTGTGAGAAATCTAAATACAAAAGAATTGGGTGCTATATATATAAATTTCCTTTGAAATAATTATATAAAAGAAAAGTTAGAGAATAGACAACAGAGATTTAATAATTCAAAAGAATAGATAAAGAAACAGTAGTGGTTAGAAAAAAGAAAAAAAAATATAAGATACAGCAAGTAAAATAGGATTAGTAATTGAACTTTGCATCAGCTTGGAAACTACAGCCATGAATTACGCCGTTAAAATCAGCTTTAAAAAACCCAACTCCGGAAACTACAGCAAAAATAGAACTCAAACAGAGATTTCTGAGAATGTACGACCGAACATAATCTGGTGAACATATTAGTAGCATAGGAGTAGCACTGCAACAGAAATTCACCATTTTTACAGACTAAACTCAAAAATATCAATCATCAGCAGAAAAAAACTAAAAAACCAAATACAAAAATAAAGAAAAAAAAAACAAATAAATTTTATGGCTAAGATAAGCCATCTTTGAGCTTTGAAGTAGCTAGAGCTCTCTGCAGATCACCATTTACAAGAGGAATCCATGGAAAGTCCTACCCAGATTACTCACAAACTGAGACAGACATATCGTTTGTTAGCTCAGGGAGGCCGAGCATCGACAGAGCATTCCTACCAAAGCTCTCTAATCATTCAAAAGACCATGAGCACGGCTTCGAACAGGGACAGACGGCTGTGCGCTTCATCGAGCCATATTATCATGGAAATGAATTCTCTACCAACTCGGGGGATAACAGCACTTCATCATGGTCATCTCAAAACATGGTAAATAAACTATTACATCACCTCAGAATTTTTTTTTAAGGTCCGTAAATAATGAGACATTCAAGCAAGTAAGATATCATTTGATTATAGTTCAAAAGCTATCTGACTTGCTGCAGTTTAAGACATTAGCGAATAATCAAATGATATCTTAAACTAACATAACAAGGCATCATGATGTCAACAAAGTAAATAACCAATAAATCTTCCAAGCAACAGCTTCAAAAACAATAATTGAGGATAAAAAAACCACATTTGCAGGATGATGTAGAGGCTGAAATGAAGAGACTAAGATTGGAGCTAAAGCAAACCATGGAAATGTACAATACTGCCTGCAAAGAAGCACTCATGGCAAAACAAAAAGTAAGTGTGTTGTTGAAATCTAATTTTCAGTTAGCATTCAAACTCCTAACCAAACACTGATGCTAGGCGCTTGATCTCGACCGATGGAAGAAAGAAGAGGAGCACAAGCTGGAAGAAGCTCGCCTGGCCGAGGAGTCAGCCCTGGCCCTTGTAGAGAGGGAGAAGGCAAAATGTAAAGCAGCCATGGAAGCTGCACAAGCGCAGCAGAAGATAGCAGAGTTAGAAGCACAGAAGAGAAGAAATGCAGAGATGCAGGCTCACAAAGAGGCAGAGGAGAAGAAGAGTGCCATAAAAACCTTTGTTACATCATTCAGGTACCGTAGATACACAATAGAAGAGATAGAGGTGGCAACAAAACACTTCGCAGAAAGCCTTAAAATTGGTGAGGGTGGCTATGGTCCTGTATATAGATGTTATCTAGATCACACACCAGTTGCAATTAAGGTACTAAGACCCGATGCAGCACATGGAAGAACACAGTTTCAACAAGAGGTAAGACAACTTCCATGTTTTACTCTCTGCAAAATAAAGCGCTAATATTTTTGCTCATGCTGCAAGAGGTTTGCATGCATGAATAAAACAACAGATTAATTTTAAAATAAATAAAACAAAATAACATAAGAAACAATTTTTTTCAGTAGCGGAAAGAGGTGAGATAGTCGTGTGTTTTTTTTTTTAAATTGCGAAGTAACCACACAAGTAAAATTGTAGCCATATTAGGATTATTCCTCTCCTCGCTTGCTCTTTTTGTTGTTCTTGAAAATTCATGATTATTGCTAACTTGACATTTGAGAATTAACGAATCCATCATTTCATAACGCATGCAAAACTCAAAATTCTTTGACTATGCCGCAGAAAATAATCAAAAGTTAAAAAAAAATCAAAATTAAGATCATTATTTCCATCAATTTTATGCACAACTGAAATCATTAGAGATAATTTCACAAAAAGACCATTCACGGTGGTAAACCTCATAAACAGATAGAAGTACTGAGCAGCATACGACATCCACACATGGTTTTACTATTAGGTGCCTGTCCAGAGTATGGTTGCCTGGTTTATGAGTATATGGCGAATGGTAGTTTGGAAGATCGCCTTTTCAGGAGACGAAACACTCCACCGATCCCCTGGCAACATCGATTCCGCATCGCTGCTGAGATTGCCACCGGCCTCCTTTTCCTACATCAAAACAAGCCAGAGCCACTGGTACACCGTGACTTGAAGCCAGCCAACATTCTCCTGGATCAAAACTATGTGAGCAAAATCGGCGATGTTGGGCTTGCCCGCCTGATTCCCCCTTCAGTTGCTAACAGTGTCACCCAATACCGGATGACTTCTGCTGCTGGAACTTTCCACTACATAGATCCAGAATACCAGCAGACAGGAATGTTGGGGGTCAAATCTGACATCTACTCTCTTGGTATCATGATGCTGCAGATCATCACTGCAAAACCAGCTATGGGATTAGCTCGCTATGCTCGGGGTGCGATGGAAAACGGTACCTTCCTGGATCTATTGGATCCAGCAGTTACAGACTGGCCAGCAGATGAAACCATGAAATTTGCTGAGATAGCACTACAGTGTGCAGAGCTCCTACGGAAGGACCGGCCAGACCTTGCCACAGAGGTACTACCAGAGCTCAATAGGCTGAGATCTTTTGGAGAAGAAGATATGCAGTACCGTAGACTGAAGGTTTCCATACAGGATACCATGGGTGACACCCACATACAGCAAAATGGATGAGAAAGCTGAAAATGAAAGCCTGGGATTCTATTAAAAGAAGATTCCAACGTGGCCTGAGAAATAGATGATGGGTATAATGAGGCCAAGCCATAGAATTTTGCTTCATGTAACATTTTGTAAAAGTGTTTTCTTAATTCCTTTGTAAGTGTTAAGTTCTTTAATCCATAAAGTTTGCGTCTCTTACAACTTTATTCATAAGAGAAAAAAATGGGACATTTACATGTATACCATGTATTTAAATATCTAACACCTAAACTTTGCTTTTTCACATTTATACTACCCAAATCTTTCATATCACATCTAAAATACACTATTTTAACTTTTAAAAGAGTGAAATACAATTTTTCATGCATATGTGAGGTAGTATGTATGTATATATGCACACACGCGCGCTCACACACACACACACATACATCCATACATACACTCATGCATGCATGCATGGATGCGTGGATGCGTGGATGCATACATACATACATGCATATGTTTAGATGTTAGATATGTAAATACATAAGAATGAAGTGGAGGTATGTATGTGAATCCTTCGAAAGAAATATGTCCCGAGAATTAAAAATAGATAGCATTTGAATATAAATGCTTCCCACAAATAGTATACCATAAATCAATAAAGAAGTTAATAAAAGAAAACAATTGCATCTCAATCATTGTTGATCATTGTTGTATCACAACAATGTTTCGTTGATGATGTATTAGAAACTTTCATTCAATTGGTATGAATTTTTAATCTCAAGGTGCAGAAGAAAAAAATGAACTGATTGATTCAAATACAGTTTCCAGGAAACAAAGTGGATCGGAGCACATCAGCCCTTCCTTGCATTAACTAATAGGTTAAATGCAATGGATGGGCCACTCCTTTGGCAAGAAAGAAAACATAAAAAGGCTACATCTTTGCTTGAATATGACAGTAAAAACTGACAGGCGTATAGGAAAGAGAATATAGTAATAAAAGGGAGCACAATAAAAGAGAATATTTTGAGTAACTAAGATATAATATTATAATAATTATTGTAATTTTCTACTATAAAACTTTAAAATGTGATAGAATATGTAGAAAAATAGAGATAGTAGAAAAGAAGTGGAAAAAAAACTACTTCGAATTTTTATTGCTTAAAATTTATACAAAGTAAGAGGGGTTATATAGACATGTGGACGGATCTTTCAAATAGAAAAATATAAATAAAGCAAACTACTCAATGCATAAACTAGGAAGGGATTAATCAAACTATTGGGCTGGTGGCCATAGAGATCCATGGGAAGCATCCAAGGGCTCCAAAGAGATTGAATCCAAGGGCTAAGAGTCTTAATCCATGTGCACTATGAGCTTGACCTTCAATTGGATAAAAATCCAATATGTAGGGCCCACATTAAGGTCCAAATCATATGAGTGAAGGGGCAGACAGTAGCAACAAGTCCCACTGCTGTCAACACTCCCCCTCAAACTAAATGATGTAGGTTTATCATTTCAAAATTGCTTATAATATGTTTAAATACAATATTACAAACTCATATGATAAATATGTCAATTAGTTGATTTCATGTTAGAACGAATGGAATGCAGATCAATCAATTTTTTAATTTCTCCTTTATGAACTACCTATCAATTTCTACATGCTTCTACAATTAAGTTATACAGGATTATGTGCAATGTTAAAGAAGATTTATTGTCATAGTATAACTTCATCAATTTTGTCTACTTAACTTTCAAGTCATCTAATATAATCTTTGATCTATAGAAGCTTCCCAAACTTCAACGACAATTGCACTAAATTCATATTTATCATTAAATCTTTATACAGAAAGTTATTTATTGCCCTTCCAAGCTACGACATTTCCTCTAATAACATACAATATCATGAAGTAGATTGTCTATCAACACATGATACAACATAGTTTGCATTAGTATATCTTTCAATTTGCCATCTTGTTTTTACATAGAATTCCTTTTCACAAAGTTAAATTAATGTGTCTCAGAACTGAAGGCAACTTAAAAAGAAGATTCCTTAGGTTTGTGCATGACCAAAAAAAAAGACTTGCCGCAGATTTAATGTCAAGTTGGGTGTGAAATAAATAGACTAATTTTTTAACAAATCATTGACATTGTGTCTACTTCAATTCCTTCTTTGCTAATACCTACTTATGATTTGATATGAGACTTCATATATTTTTCACTGTCACTTTTATTTTTGTTAGTAGAACTATGTGATATTGCCAGAAGAGAAATATTATTGATCAGATTAAGTAATTTTTATGTCCAAGAAGTATTTGAATTGCCTAGCTCATTAACTTCAAGAAATTTTTTCATAAAAACCTTCACTTGATTCTCATCACCTACAAGAATTATATCAAGGTATATAATAAAGATTGAGATTTTTTTCATCAAGAATAAATATTATGTGTATGGCCTCATTAACTTTATCTATAAACAAATCCCATCATAATTTTTAGGAATTTGCTAACTCAAGCTCTTTGGAATTATTTTAGTCCATATTATGCTTTTTATAATTCGTATAAAGCCTTCTATAGTTTGCACACATTGTTTTATGTGCAAGTATTATCGAATTTTAATGGTTGATTCATATAGGTCTCTGCTTCAACATTCTATGTAAGAAAATATTCTTCACATCCTATTGTTGCCCGGACCATCTAAGATTAGCCACAATAGAAATTAGAATATAGATTGTATTCATTTTTGCAAAATGAGCAAAACATCCCTGATAATAAAATCTATAGGATTGAGTATAGGTGTACTATTCCAGACTCTCATATGGTTTATACTTAATAAAAAAAAAATTAATAGCATCCCATAGTTTTTTTCCTATTTTGTAGGTTCAAACCCCTCAAGTGTATTTTTTATTCAGAATTTATATTTTTCTCTCAGTCCCCTTCTAATTCTTTATCTTTAATCATAATGGTGGCCTAACCTAATTATAATTCAATTTGACAATATACATAAAATAAACCGATAAGCAAAATTATTAATTTAAAATTTTCGTAAAATTCTAAATTTTTTTTATTGGCATGATTTTTTTCTTAAATTTGATATTAAAATTTTAAAGCAGTAAAATGGTGGAAAATGAATGGTGCATCAACTCCAACTCTGCAAAAATTGACTGCGATTTTAGGTTTGACCTACAACAATGATTGATGGAGAGGAGAGAAACTAGAGCCTCTTCAAATAAGTTAGTAATTTATTAATTCAAAATATAGAAAGTAATTGACATGATTTGTAAAATTTATTTTGATTTCTTCTCTAAAAATGGACTGTAAGAAGAAAAATTGGTTGAATTAAAAAGCATAAAAATGACTTACTGATTATTAAGTAGAATCAAACTTTATAAAAAGCAGTTTCAATTTTGAAAATGTTATTGATCCAACCAGTTTGGATTATAATGATGAAAGCTAAGAGTGGATAATATGAGAAATGAAGAACAGCAATAAGCGTTGTTTTAGTAATGAAAATCTAACTTATATTGTATTGATGGAAGTTAAGAATGTATACATAAGAAGTGAAGAATAGTGATGGGGAATGTTTTGGTGATCAAAATCTAACTTAGAGACATTGAATTTTGTAGTCTCACGTACACTTTTTCTTCTTTTTCAAACTGTTGGTCATGTCAATGCTCTCCAACAAACTCTAGTCATAATTTCCTCACCATAGACATTGATGGCTTTTCTAGCAAACTTTCATCATGATTTCCCCTTCATCTCACTATAGATGTCTTCTTCAATGAGCTCCTGCTATGACTTCCTCAATGTATTAATCAATGACCTTCAGTTGTGACTTACTCTGTCAATGCCTCTCCAATGAGCCTAGTTGACTTCCTCGTTTTTATAATTGAGGTTTTTGAAATTATAAATTTAATTAAAAAGAACATGTAGAATTAAGAATAGTTCGGTTTGCAGATAATGTAAAATTTTGTTTGGTTGTTGCAGGTAATTAGGTTTTTCTTCAATTGTTTTTCTTCAATTGCAGATAATGTAAAATTTAATTTAAAATAAATTTTGTTTGATAGTACCTGGGAGATCACCTTCCAGGTACTATCTGAGAACACTACTGAATGACTACCCTCATTGAGCTGCCCAATAGAAATTAAGTTTTTCTTCAATTCAGGAACGTGTCTGACTTTTTTGCAAAATCCATTTACTCTTGTTAGGGAGTGCAATATCAACGTCTCTTATTCCCACCACATCTAGAGCTTTTCCATCAGTCAGATATACCTTCCCAAAGTTACCTGCAATATAATTCCGCATTAACTCCCGGTGGGAAGATGTATGGAAGGAAGCACCTGAATCCAGAATCCATTCATCAACAGAACTGTGAACTGCCAACAATAGTGCATCATGTATCTATTCAATTACAATATTAGCGTCATCGTTCTCCTTCTTGAGATTCCTGCAGTTCCTTTTTATGTGGCCAGCCTTGCCACAATTCCAGCAGGTTGTCTGCTGACCAGACTTTGATTTTGATCTTCCTCTGTTCGAGTTTCTATCCCGTGATCTCCCTCTAGAATCAACAATCAGTGCCGAACTCGAACCCAAGGTCTCACCAGAATCTTTCCTGCGCACCTCCTCAACCAAAATCAAATCACGTATATCATCATATTTCAGTTTAGATTTACCTGCAGAACTGCTAACTGCCATCCTCATGACTTCCCAGCTATTTGGCAATGACGCCAACAATATCATCGCACGAATCTCATCATCAAAATCAATTTCAACAGATGA